ACCTTATTCGGGTTGGCTTCAATGCCACGCCGGTTAACGATGTATCCTAGGAATTTACCCGAGGTCACACCGAACACACACTTGTTTGGATTCAATCTCATATTAAACTTACACAAAATTTCAAATGCAAGTCTTGTATTAATTCATGTGGGAATTGAGTTTTGACGACCATGTCGTCTACATAGCATTCTACTTTTCTGCCGATTAACAGCGCAAACAATTTATTTACGAGCCTTTGAAAGGTTGCCCCTACGTTTTTCAAACCGAAGGGCATAACCTTGTAACAGTACAGGCCGAATTCCGTGATGAAGGCAGTCTTTTCTTCGTTCGCCAGGTCCATCTTGATTTGGTTATAGCCCGAATAGGCGTCCAAGAAACTTAGCAACTCATGCCTTGAGGTCGCATCCACCAAACGGTCGATTCTGGGGAGCGAGAAGCAGTCTTTCGGGCAAGCCCGGTTCAGGTCGGTGTAGTCGGCGAACATGCACCACTTGTCATTGGCCTTTTTTACCAGGACGGGGTTGGCTACCCAGCTCGAGTAGTGGACTTCTGTTATGAAGTCCGCTGCAAGGAGCTTCTCGACTTCCTCGTCGACCGCTTTCCACTGTTCCGGGGCTAGGTTGCATTTCTTCTGTCTAACGGGCCTAACTATGGGATCAGTGTTCAGCTTGTGAGTTATGAGTTCGGGGTCTATACCGAGCATTTCTACCTCGAACCATGCAAAAATATCTAAATTTTGAAGTAAGAAACTTGCTAGTTCTGATCGTAGGGGCTCCTGGATGGAAGCGCCAATCTGCAGCGTCCGAGCCGGGTCTGTTGCTGAGGTTGGGACCGCGACTATTTCTTCCGTGGGCGCGGTTCGCTCTTTGCCTTGCTCCGTGGGTCGCTCTAGTTCGAGGTCGCCGACCACCTTGGTTTTCCCCTTCAAGCGGCAACATAGCACTTGCGGGATTCGAGCTGGTCGCCCCGTGCTACTCCCACACCGAAGTCTGTTGGGAACTTCATGGCCAAGTGGTAAGTGGAGACCACCGCCCGTAGGACATGGGTGATCGGTCGACCTACTATGGCATTGTAGGGGGAGGGGGTCGTGACCACCAGGAAGTCGTGTTTGAACCTGACCACACAAGGCCACGTGCCGACCTCCACAGGTACTGTTATTTTCCCAAGGAGCCGGACTTTTTCTCCGTTGAAGCCTACCAAAGGAGTGTCTGCGGGCTTTAGGTCGCTTCTCTGCAACTAGAGCTGGTCAAACGCAGCTTTAAACAGAATGTTGGCTGAGCTGCCTGAGTCGACGAGTACACGCCTAATCTCAAAGTCGTTGATTCTTAGGTTTATTATGAGTGCGTTGTCGTGGGGGTAGTGGACTCCTCGCGCATCATCTTCTGTGAAGAAAATTGGCTCTTCTGTCCTCGGCTGCTTCGGGGGGTTCTGCTCCTCCCGGGTGGCTTCACGAACCGAAGTCCGAGCTATTGCTGAAGTGCAACCTGCGATGATAGAACCTCCCACTATCATGTGGATGGTTCCTCGGACTGGCCTCTCCTCTGGAGGCTGCCTCTGCGGTTGTTCGGCCGGCCTGCTGCTGGACTCGGGAGCATCTCTGCCGTGCTCCCCTTGCCGACCTGTTCTATTACTATTGTTATTATTATTATTTTGTACAAAGCTTCTCAAATATCCGCGATGGATGAACTCCTCTATCTCATCGCGAAGGTTTTTACAACTCTCGGTACTGTGACCGTGGTCTTTGTGAAAACTGCAATACAGACTCTTATTTCTTTCATTGGGATTCCCCTCAAACGGGGTGGCCACTTCACGTACGGGGCGTCCTTGATCGCCATCAGGATTTCATCCCGCTTTGTGTTCAGTGGGGTCTATTTAGCTTGGTCCGGTGTAGGAGCTCGAAACAATTGACCCGACTTTGCCCCCCGAACTGTTTCTTTTTTCCTTCGAGTGTCCCCTTGACTGGAAGGCTCTCCTTCTCTCTTTCTTTTTTCGGGTGCACCCTCGCCCTTCTGGTTGATCTCCTCTTCGGTGGCTATGAACTTANTCTCTCTTTCTTTTTTCGGGTGCACCCTCGCCCTTCTGGTTGATCTCCTCTTCGGTGGCTATGAACTTATCCGCAAGTTTCAGAAACTCGGTTATGGTCGCGGGTTGGTTGACGACCATGTGCCACTTGAACTCTTTCTGCTTCACGCCCTTCTTGGTTGCTACAAGGCGTACGGCGGGGTCCAGGCGCGGTATCTGCATACAAGCGTCGTTGAACCACTTGATATAGCTCCGGATGGACTCTCCCTCTCTTTGTGCTATGTTGAAGATGATTTCTTCAGTTTGCGGGCACCGTTTGCTGGTGACAAAGTGGGACGTAAAGGCTTGTGCGAACTGCGCCCAACTTCTTATCGACCCGGGCACCAAGTTCCGTTACCACTTGCGAGCAGCTCCCCTAAAAGTAGTGGAGAAGGCCACGCACATGCACGACTCGTTGGCTCGCGCCAGGTGCATTTGTTACTGAAAGGCGTCTACATGATCATTCGGGTCGAACGACCCGTCATACTTGTCAAGAGGGGGGAGCTTGAAATCCTTGGGCATCGGGACTGCTAGGAGTTCGGAAGACAGGGGAGTCGGAACCGAGAGGAGGGGAGCTTTGGCTTCGGCCGAGCCTCCCTCTTCTTTGCCCATGAGCTCGGGCAAATCGCGGGTGACAGATCGGCGAGCTCGGCAGTGGCGTCTCTGCTTCTTGATGGGCTCGGCGTTCGTGCTGCTCACCTCCGCACTGTCTAGAATGGTTTGCATAGGGAGTAGCCCGGTCTGCTGGTGGTGGCTATGGACAGAGGGGTCCTGCTTGGAGTCTGTTGCCAGGATCTCGAATCGGTTTTCAAGGATCGGGGTTCCAAACTTCGACTGTCGAGGTGACGTAGACCTGGCGAGCCGTGGTCCTCCTGACATGTCCGCCCGCTGCGATATCGGGGTAGCCGGTCTCTCCCGTCTGCCGTGGGGGGAGGCCTGATTTTTTGGGAGATTTTGGGGGGCCTCTCCTCAGTCGGAGGGGTGCTCGCTCTGGCGGCAAGACTTGGCTTGCTGCGAGGCTGGGCGCTGAGGCGGGAGCTGAGGCTGCTGAAGCTGAGGTTGGGGCAGCTGAGGGAACTGCTGCTGATACTGATACTGGGAGACCTGGTGCAGTACGTGCTGTTGATAGAGTTGAAGTTGTTGGAACTGTTGCATTTGAGCCTGCATGGCCCTCATGCACTACATCAGGTCCTCCAGTTGGTTCAGGCTGGCCGCTGGGGGCACGACCGAAGGTTTGGTGAACATCGTTCCGACTGTAGCAGGGAGTGGGGCGATGACAGGTGCCATTGTGAGAGGCACGTTTAAGCTAGGGATTCCGTTCGCTGAGAGGGGGACGGTGAACTATCCGATACAGACAGTAGGAAGCTGGGGTTGTTCCCTGGAGTTATCCATTTCCGTGCTTCGTTCGACGTTGCTAGAGGAAGCCATGAGCATTGGATTGTTTCAAGGAAGAAGAAGGAACTGAAAGAGTTTAGAGAGAAAGGCTTTTTGAAGCGCTTCCCACAGATGGCGCTCGTGTGGCTCCTGAGATGTACCTGAAACGAGAGGAAGGAGGAAGAACTCCCGGGGGGTTTCCCGGTAGGAATGCTCCGATGCTTAAGTTAGTATTGTGTGCAAGAAGCTGAATGAGAATGAACACTAAGAGTGCAGGTTGCGCTAGTCATTCAAGATACCTTGTTCCTTGAGAATAAGCTCCTTATAACTGAATTCCGTTGCTCTAAGCCCTCTGACTTCTGACAGGGCAGGTATAACCACCACTGTCAGCCTGCTACAGCTGTTACAGGAAGAGCTGAGGTGGCACGCGTGGGGCCGTCGTGCAGAGTACGTGTCTGTCAGGTGTGGGACGCCTTTCTAAAGGTGGCAAGCGCGGCAAGGGGACATGCCTGCTGTTCGCAGGTTTGTTGGGTACGGGGGTCGGGCAGGAAGCCCTCCTATGGTATGTTGAGCTGTCCTCCTGCGAATTGCCCTGAGCTGGGCTGTCCTTTAAGTGACGGGCTGCCTGCAGCCGGTTATGCCGAGCTAGCCGACCCGAGGTCTTTGTGCCTCGGGGTGTCCGAAGAAGAATCGGTGCGTTCTTGCTTGGGAGTGGCCCGAGGTCCATTGGGAGGAGCTCGGGTCTTAAAAGGGGTCAGGGGTCCCGAACTCGGGACCCCCCGAAGTGCCTTAACCCCGGGGAGGAGGTGTGGGTGAGGTGGCTTTCGGCGAGTAGTTTACCTGCCGACTTGCCGTGCTGAACTCGGTGGGACTTCCCCCCTGAGTTGTGCCCACGTCCGTTATGCTGTCATACTGAGTCACTGTTTGAGCAAAGTCACACGCACGTGTACCTGAGCTACGAGGTCGGGCCAAATCACCCTCCATCAATTATTATTATTATTATTATTATGCAGAACATGAGCAAATGCATCAGTTACTGAATTGGTTTATACTTTTCCTCTTATGGTTTTCAAACCAGATAAACTTATAAATAAATTTAGGGTTCATGCATCACCAAACCAGAAGATGATTTACCGTTTACGGGCCCCTATTATTATCTATAAACGGGTCGTGATTAATCCAATAATACAGTTAAGCATCAATATTAATGAGGTTGTAGTATTATTGCCGCCTTAGGTCAATAGAGCTTTATTGGTGAGAGAGGTAATTGGATCTGGCCATGCATGTATGTTAATTAAAACAAAAGTTAATAGGTTCTCAACCATCGTTAGATGGATGAAAACTGTCTGAATTATCAACCAATAACCAATCAAGTGGATTCGTCAAACGTGGTGGTCAATGGTCAATCAGGTGTTATATATCAAAACCATGGATGGGTTTTGTTTATACTATATCTTTCTCATATCATAAATTTTCCCTGAAATAATGCTCTAATTAATGTAATGACTTGCATGCATGCATATGCCGAAATTCTCATTGTTGTAATATAAATGGCAAAATTCTAATTAAAATAAACTCCACTGAAACATGTTCGAATTTAATTTTCAAGTAATTAAAACATTAAATACAACACTTGATGCATGACCTCGATCATAGAAAATGTGATTCTGATACAGTAACACTTTCACTGTCCACTTATGATGTAACTTTATTTTAATTTTGTGGGAATATATGTATTAAGTAACTAATTCATGAATAGTACATATGTATGTAGCACGTGGGGCCGGGTTTGATCAGATTGTGATGGGATCAATGAGCAAAAGTTTGATGTGAGTTTTCAACCCTGTAGTGACGTTGGTGAAGGCATCTCCATGCTTGTAGACGACTTCTATAAGGCGTGCAAGGTTGACAACTGGGATTAGCAGAGGCATTGGTGCGGCAGTCGGTGTGATACATTCCTCGTTCAAAACCTTCCATGCCTTTGTGACAATCTTACGTAACTCATTGTTTGCCTCTTCCCTTGACACACCATACTGCTTCATATAACATTCAATGGCAGAGCAGACATGCCCTCTCTCTTGCTCAAACTTCAAAATTTCAAATTTATAGATAGAATCAAATCAATACAAGGTTAATTAGCTTAATTTAAGAGCTCTATTTATTATTAAATTAATGCTAACTAGCTAGAGCTATATATATATATATATATACCTAGATTATATTAGATGGATGCATACCTCGTTAGTCATGATGTCATCCGAGAATCGACCGATGATACATGAACTCTTAACAGCATCAGGTGTCTTTGATAGCCAATCAAACACCTCTTTTGTTGCCATTTCTCCCATGCATGCGAAGATTACATTTGTCATCATAATGTATGTACTGGTAATTAGGCCAAGCTTGCTAAACTCTTCAAATGTAGGAATATGCCCTTCTTTCAACCATGTGGCTTCAATTTGGTAGGCTTCAATCAAATCCTTCATCTGGGGTTGGTAGCCGGGGCAGAATGAAATTAAAATTGAAGTTATTAATTAAAAAGAGTGCGTACGTGCGGTTAACTTGCGAGTTTAATTATGATTTCTTATAAACTATATATATAGAGCATTGCCATCTAATTAATTATATTGATCATCCTTTGAATTTATCAAGATATATATAGAGAATTAATGGAACAAATAAATAAATTAATCACAGCCGGCCATTAATTGCTGCTTAATTATGTGTAACTTACCGCTTCTTTTGCATAAGAGACACAAAAACATCTTCCTTCCTTTCTCATCTCTTCTTCAATTTCATTGTAAATATCTAAGAGTGTAACATATATCACTTTCATGTATTCCGGTAGCTTATCAGTTTCATTGGCATCCCACCTAAATATATAAACATGATGAAACTATATAGAGTGAGAAGGGCAATGAAGACATCTAACTAACTAACTAATAAATAAATCAACTTGTCAAAATTTTGAGATAGATCCATGTTAACTTAAATTGTGGTCTCATCTCAATTCAAACCTTCGGATTGCATCCGTAAGGAGCTGGAGTTCTTCAAAGGTACCATATGCATCGTAAGTATCGTCTAAAATTGTATTGATGGCAACTATTTTGGCGAGAGTCTTTCGTCCAAGAGAGTATTGGGGTTCAGGAAGAGCTCCAGCTGACCAAAAATAGCACTCTGCCAGTCTGTCTCTTGCATAAGGTGTCTTTGATGTAAAATCTATATTCTTCCACCACCTGTAAGTAAGTGTTAGAGATTATATTAGAGCAGATACAAACATATATATATATATATATATATATATATATATAGTTATGAAGGTTATCACCAACTTAAATTCTCAGAGAAAGCTGGGAAGCTTACCTTGATACTTGGCTTAGCTCGTTGAGATATAACAACTGTGTTCTGTTGAAATCTAACTTAGCAAGCTTGAGCAGAACTTGATTTCGTGATTTGTCTTCTTCGTAGAAAGAGATGTAATGTCGTGCCTCTATCTTAGGTATTCCCCTGTGGAGAGGCTGCTCTAGGGCATGCTTCACTTGTTTTACAAGAGTAGGGGAAGTTGTATCCGTAGCCACAGTCGACTTGAGATGAGCAGTGGTAAAAGCAAGGGCTTCATCTAGAACTTCTTCTCCACGTTTCCCAAGGTATGCAGCTTCATACAAACTCAGCATACCTTGTATATCTCTAGCCAAGCTCTCTCTAAGCTTTCCATCTTCATCTTTGAATTTCTTGAACACATCTGCTTGACCAACAGAAATAGGAAATGAGACCAAAAAACATAAGTCATAGATTATGCAGGGATCGATTGAATTGGGTGATGATGGGTCATAATTCCGAACCTGACCCAATTTGACCCACCATCTAAACTCCATCATCCCTTATTCCCATAGCCACGAACCTTCCCCCTTCAATTACAATTACTAGGGTGGGCCATGGGCTCCAAAATGAAGTTACTACAAGTAAGAACCCGTGCCATACTGATACTGCCAGTCAATCATCAGTGTATGTGTATCTATCATATATATGGGTTATTAAACCCACCGAAACACTAAATACGTACTGAGAACTAGAGCTGTTTAATGAATTGAAACATTAATTAATAACCATCCTGATAATTGATATGTTTTTGTGAATTTATCATACTAGGAGTATTTATTAATTGATGGTTTAAAAACTCTGCATATACCAGATTATGTGCATATCTAACAGAAACCTGCAGAGAGAAATATTAATATTGGGACTTACCACATGGTATGTTATAACCATGTTGCCTGAGTAATCGAAACAGAAGGGCAACAGCATTGAGATTATCATCCATATCATTAAAGTAGACAATGTGGGCATCGAATATCTGTTCTAGCATCTTGTTTATCTCTCTCTCAAAATGATACCCCAAGCCAAGACGTTGGACTGCGTCAATCAAACTCAACATTTCCAATGGTTTATTGGCAGAATTCCTTAAAATGCTCCTCACTTCTTCTTTTAGCTCTTCAACTTGTTGATTGTAAGACTCAAGTTTCTGCACAAGCAATTCTCATCATGTCAAAAACATTATAAATTGAGAGAGAGAGAGAGAGAGAGAGAGAGAGAGAGAGAGAGAGAGATGCAACGACCATGTTATCACAAGTGTAAGTAATGAAACGATCTCCCCAAATGCTTGGGTGGAAATTGGTGGTGTGACGAATGAGCTCTGTTTTTTCGGCTTCCGAAGAAGAATGCTGGGTGGGGGGGCATGATGAAATTTGGGAAGACATGTTGATACAACCAAACAGATGTGCTTCAAATGAATGAATACTTGTATGATGGAGATTAGGCTTCTATGGTCAGGTATTTATAGATAGATATGTCGACTGGAATATGCTCAACTCAAAGACGATGCTTCAATTGCCATGACAGAAAATTCAACCATTGTAAAGAAAATCACCGACACTCTCACTAAGGACAATAATTGAGCATTAAAAACGTGTTTGAATGAGAGGCACATTAGCTATGACAAGTATCGTACAGCTATTAAGTGGTTCAATCACTCTACTTATCTAACGTGCCTACTAGATCCGGACCCGGCCATACTGCATGCTCCACAATCCCACATGCACATAACTTGTCATTGGGAGATGTTTTCGATGCACGGTCTGGATGTACTGTAGGGCACGTGTAAGGTACTGATGTGCTCTCCAATTCTATTGGAGGTGGAAAGGTAAAAATATCTCATTACCAGTCTGGATCTGCAACATCTCTCCTACTTTAAGTGTTATTATTCATTTCACTGTGGGGTCCCCTATGTCTAATATCCTATTTTATGGTTGGTGGTGAGATGAGTACTGGTTAAGGGGGTGATTTCATTTCATTGGAGGTGAAAAGCTAGAAATATCAGTACTTACCTCATTTGATATTTTTAGTATTGCTTATGGTAATAGTGGAATGGGAATTGCTCCTCATACAGGATCGCCTCACAGGCACATCCACCATGAATTTTTGAAAAGTAATTTACTCATATCCATATTTGTACGAGGGACTTTTAAGATATTCAAGTTTTTTTTTTCTATGGGGACTAGTTCTCGGATCAAATAGTTTGGCCATCTGGTCCGTATCGACAGTTCAACCATCCAGGTTTGTGGTTCGCTGATCAAATCAACGGTTGTTGGCCTAAAGCGGTTCTGGGGTGAAACAGAACCAGTCAAGTTACCGATTCCCAGTTTTCCAATCTAGTTTTGAAAACATTATTGATAGAAGGTTGGATTTTGAGAACCCAAATCCTTTCCATACATAAAAATGTAAAACCCTTCTTTATCTTATCCTCTTCCATATTTAAGGATGAAATGGATTGGATCCAAAAACTGCATCTAATTTCTTATTATTTTTTGTTATAAATAATAAACAATTAAAATGGCATTAATAAACATCAAAATTTTTAATTATTTGATTAAACATATTGAAAACACATAAACGGAAGAAATAAGTGATGCCATGATGCCATCCACTGTTATTGTCTTTGTTAGGAATGTCATTACCACCATTTTCTTGAAAGAGACGTGATGCCAGAGAAAGTAGATTCTATAATATCTTCGACGTTGGTACGAGGTAGAGATGAAGGCAAAGATGAATGTGGAGAAAAGATTCATCCTTTGACAGCTTTTAGGGAAAAAATGTGTAGAATAATCTTGCTATCAAAGATAGAACAAGAAAAAATGACTCCATTAGATTATAAATACCGAATTAAAAATCGGAAGCAAAGTTGAAGTCGCCGTTTACAATTACAGATGGTCTCCAATCACAGATGATCAGGTCGTGACCGTCAGGTTGATTGGCTCCTCTAGACGTCACAAATCAACCAAATATTCTCTCATTCTGTTCAAGATCAAAACAACTTCAAGAGCACGGCACCTAAACCATTTGGGCTGGTTAACATTGACTATGTACGTAGGGCCACCGTTTACAATGGACAAATGGTCAATATGGTTACAAGTGTTGGAGAGGTTAGACCGTACGTTCTTCTGCAACCCCCACATGATTATAGAGCTTTGTCCCAATACATTGATTCCCATCATAGCCTGACCCAACCTCCAAACACACCAAGGCCTTCTCATTTTCCTTTCCTTCCCTTTTGGACGGAACATGAAGACTGTATAGAACCATAACAGCTACCAATTGAGTTTTTCTAACTGGCATTTATATAAACGCCACTATATATTATTTTTAATGGCGCTTATTAAAAGTGCCATTATATCCATATCAAAAAAGCCATTATATATATTTTAAGTGGTAATTATTAAAATGCTATTAAAAATATATTTAAATTGCCGCTAAATATGTGGTTTTTAAGTGGCATTTATTGTTTTGCCATTTAAGTCATCTTTAAAAGCCATTATATCAACAGTTTTTTTAGCCATTGATTTCACTTCTACATCAATGGTGTAGATTTAACTTCATTGGAGAAATTAACAAGAATTGGCGTGCAGATACCAATTTCTTCCCCTGCCCATTCTTCTTCACTCTAGCAACGCACATCTCCTATACCAAAACCGCAAAAAACCCTAATTTTTTCACTTTAGACTAGTTTGTTCTTCGCTCTAGCAACGCACGTCTTTGGGAAACCCCTATTGAAAGATGCTGCTCTTTGTCTTTCTAGTCCAATCCTAGAAAAAATGCCACCAATCGACCTTGTAACTACACTTTGTTTCTTATTTTTCCATGTCACTAGATTTTCTTGTACAAAAGTACAATACCCACTTGTGGACTTTATATCAATCACAACATTTTCCAAGTTAGTATCTATATAGACTTCCATTCACTATAAGAAAAATGACTTTTAACGACAATCAAAATTGCTGATAAAGGTCCATAAAACTGCTATTAGATACTTTACCGACAGCCAACAAACAACCGCTAAAAGAATTGTCGCTATAAGTTCTAGTGGCAGTTTTCATGAAATACAAAACTTCTACTAAAAATATTTTTTGCTAAATTGGCTACTGCTATAAGTCTGATGTGTGATTTTTTAGCGGTAGTCAAGGACATCTTTAGCGGCAATCACAACAACCGCTAAAGCCACACTTTTTTTTTCATATAACCTATTTTTTTAATTTTTTCTAATTTGCTTCAAATAACATATTTTCTCTATATTCATTTAAGTTAAAATGAAATACAAAAATATAAAAAATCAATTATAAATAAAATTTTAAAAACTATTCTCCATTCAAAATATTTGGATCACAAATACATCTTAATTTCAATTGCATCATGCAAGGTCCAGAAATTTTGGTTGTATTGGGTGCACCCATAGGGTTAAGCACCTTTACAGGTATAGAGTATGGCACAATCATCGCAGTAAGTGGTTGGAGAGAAAACGGAATTCCATTGCTCATATTCCCAATCTTGGATTCATTTCCTAGTGGAATGTTAGAATGCTTTTTGCCTTGGACATCTATGGCGCTTGTTGAATTAGTAAGCACATGACCTTCCTTGGGAACCTCACAAGAGCTTACTACCACCCATGTTCAGCTTGGTGCCATCTTCATGGTGCAGGGCCAACCTTGAAGTTGAGTACTAGTGTGTCCAGAAGCGTGTCGTTAACCACTTCGGAACACCAGTTTTAATATTTATAAATTTTTTCTGATTCTCAAACAATTACAAACGCAATAAATGGTGAGAACGAGTTGTTTCCACAGGGAAGCGAGGGAAAAAAACATTATTTATTTAAATTCGGGAAAGAGAACACAATTAAGAGTCACAGAAACATATAATTTAATTAATTAAACCGAAATTCATTAAAATAAAATTCGAATAGTGTTAGAAGTGAAAAGTGCAGAAAAATAAATAAATAAAAGGAATGAAATAAAAAGTCTTTAATCTGATCAGAGGTAGCAGTCTCTAGATCTCTCATTTGACCCTCAAATTTCTCGAGCTAGGCCTTCTATCTTAATTGGCCAAATTCCAGATCTGTAGAAAAGAAAACAAGCATCAAATTGAATGAAAGTAAATTGTAGAAAGAAAAAAAAATGGAACTGGAAGTGAAAGAACAGAAATTAAATCTAAGACTACTAGTTGGGATCCAAATCTAGAGGTGATATTAGTGGCTTAGGTGAACTGCAAACAGGAACCCCTCCTCCTGCTTGGGTGTCCTCTTCTTCCTCTACCCTTGAACTTCTCAAGATTAGCCTTCTGTCTTACTTGTGACCCGGCTCCATGCCATGTTAGTGCACATGCACCTGAATTACGTATGTAGTACTCACAAAAATTTCAAGATTTACAATAACAGCATGCCATTTAGCTAGCTTATTATTTTTTAAAAGCCTAGTATAATTCAAAAGGGGGGAAACTTCACATATGGCATGTCACCTCAGTTGGACGTCCAACCCGATCCAGTCAAATGTGAGTCCACTTATAAATGGATTGGACTCAATTCAGTCTAAATCCAATAAAAACCAAATCCAATCCAATTCATTAAAATGTTAAATCGAATGAAATATAAAAAAAAAATTATATAAAAGCATTTTTAGTATTAAAAAAGCATTTTGATAAAAATATCTTCATAAAATTGCTTTTACAAAAGCACTTTATTGAAAGTATTTCGAAAAGTGCTTCTATAGACTTTTACAAAAGTATTTTTATAGAAGTGCTTTTGTAAAAATGCTTCTATAAAAGTACTTTTGTACAAGTGATTTTCTAAAAGTGCTTCTATAAAAGTGCTTTCGTAAAAGTGCTTTTATAGAAGTATTTCTATAAAAGTGCTTTCGTAAAAGTACTTCCGTAAAAGTTCTTTTGTAAAAGTGATTTCATAAATGTGTTTTCGTGTAAAGTACTTTTGTAAAAGTGCTTTTATTAAAGTGATTTTGTAAAAGTGCTTTTATAAAATTACTTCTGTAAAAGTACTTTCATAGAAGTACTTTTGTAAAAATGCTTTCGTAAAAGTATTTTTATAAAAGTGCTTTCGTAAAAATACTTTTCATAAAATTACTTTTATAAAAGTACTTTCGTAAAAGTGCTTTCATAAAAGTACTTTCGTAAAAGTGATTTTATGTTGTTTTCAATTTTGATTGATTTCAAATTGGACAAGGGTTTTGCCGCATGATCGAATTATTAGAAATTTGGTTTATGTCTAATTCAAACCAATTTATTTTGAATTGACCCAATCCAATAATTATAATGGACCGTCCATATCCGATTTGATAAGGTTTGGAAATTGGACCCAAACCAAAACCAATCGATTGACAACCCTACTTGTGATTGAGAAGATTAGATGGATTAGATTAGAAATATAGATAGTAAGATAGATAGAT